CCATATGCCCAAATATGAACACAGATGGAGTTTGGAGGAAATAGACCTTGACATTTGGGATTTGTAGTTACTGGGATTTATAGTTCACCTACAATCAAAGAGCATTCTGAACTCCACCAATGATGGAATTGAACCAAACATGGCATACAGGACTTCCATGACCAACAGAACACACTGGAAGGGTTTGGTGGGCATTGACCTTGAGTTTGGGAGTTGTAGTTCACCTACATCCAGAGAGCACTGTGGACTCAAACAATGATGGATCTGGACCAAACTTGACACAAAAATTCCATATTTACTAAATACGAACACAGATGGAGTTTGGAGGAAATAGACCTTGCAATTTGGGATTTGTACTTACTGGGATTTATAGTTCACTACAATTAAAGAGCATTCTGAAACCCACAAACGACAGAAATGGGGCAAACTTCCCACACAGAACCCCCATGACCAACAGAAAATACTTAAGGCCATCCAGTCCAACTCTCTTCACCAGGGCAAGAAAATGTAATCAGAGCCCTCCTGACAAAGAGCCATCCAGTCATAAATATCGATAGATAGATATGATTCACACACACAGATATAGTATCATAGATTTGAAAGGGACCCTTAAAGAAGGACTAGGATATGTTGCATATTCCAGAGTAGGCAAACCAGACACTCTCCACATCAACACTGACAAAGAAACAATAAGAAATAGTATTTACTCACAAGCAGAAAGGAATTACATATATTAGAAACCAACACTTTCTCATTACTTTATTTTCCAGATCACCAGGCTGGGCCACAGCAACGCGTGGCAGGGGACAGCTAGTTATAAATAATAATGGAGATAAGGGACATCCCTGTCTTGTTCCTTTATTAATTTTGATGCTTCTGGCCTCTTGTCTATTGACATCTTTGCTTCTTGCATTGTATATATTCACTGCCCAGGTTACTTGAGAAAGGCAATGTTTGTTTTGGGAAGTTGGATGCAAGGTGAACTACAATTTCCACACGAGTGGGTCATTCCCCCCACCCCGCCCCAGACCCCTCCAGTGTGTTATGTTGGCCCAGGTTATTTGAAAAAGGCACTGTTTGTTTTAAGGTGTTCGGTCATATCAGTTTGATAATTTGTAGCTCTATTTCTTAGAAAAAAAAACAGTTTTTCCTTTGTTTTTTATGAATGCTCCCATTAGAAAATGCAAAATGATGTGGGTGAATTGCAAAATCATGGGCCAATCACGCCAAACCCCACCAGTATTCAAAACATTCACCTCCAAACCAGACCTGTACGCACAGTTGGCCATGTTGGATCTGTGTGCCAAGTATGGTCCAGATGTGACATCATCTGGGTTCAGGGCTCTCTGGCTAAGGATGAACTACAATTTTCAGAGCAAAGGTCATTCACCCCAAAACCCCACTTATATGCACAGTTGGCCATGCTGGGTCTGTGTGCCAAGTTTGGTCCAGAACTGACATGAGCTGGGTTCATGGCTCTGCGACTCCTAGATTCAAGGCCATTCAATCCCAAACCCTTTCTGTATGCACAGTTGGGCATATTGGGTCTGTGTGCCAAGTTTGGTGCAGATGCGACTTCGGCTGGGTTCAGTGCTTTCTGGATAAGGGTGAACTACGACTCCCAGCTTCAATGTCCATTTCCCCAAACATCTCCAATATGTTATCTTGGTCATGGGGAGGGGGGTCTGTTTACCAATTTTCGTCCAGTTTCATCATTCATGGGGATCTCAGTGGTCTCTGGAACTGAGTGAAGGTACTACATCATCTGTGGCAAATGTTGGTGAGGTTCACTGTGCTCTCTGGATGTAGGTGAACTACAACTCCTCTAAATTATGGTGAATTCTTCCCAAACTTCTTGTTCCGTTGCTGATCAATTCCTGTTTGCTACATGCCATAGAAATTGATAGGAAAGGGTTAAGTCAGAGCCAGTGGGAGAGGTCATGCAAATCTGGAGAGAGAAAGGAACCCTGGGGTGTCCATTCTGGTGAAAAAACAGAACATCTAGGATGAAATAATCCCCGAATGAAAGCATTCCTTGGGTGGTTGGTGTTTGGGGAGGACATTGGCAGCGTTTGGGCTACATCCTCATGACGCTCACTATAACCTGCAATGTCAGTGGAGGGTGTGCCTATGGAGGCTTCTCAGCACTTGGAACTATAGCCTGCTTGTGGAGGCCGGAGACTGTCTGTGTAAGTGGACACCTCCGCCACATACACACATATAGACATTTTCACTTTGATTATGTGTATAGATTTGATTGTGTTTATAAAATGGTATCCCTTGTGCATCTCTTTTAATAACGGTAGAATAAAATCCCAATTGATATTGTTGAATGCTTTTACTGCATCCAAGAAGATCACTGCAAATTCTTTTTTATTATTAGTCTCATAATATTCAATAATATCTAATATATTCCTCACATTTATATGACTCTGTGGTAAGAATCCTGTTTGTTCATTTTTGATCCATTCATTCAGGAAAGTTTTCAGTCTTTTCGCCAATATATTTGTAAATCAATATTCAGTAATGAATTTGTTATATAATTTCTAACGTCTGTTGGATCTGGGTTTTCTTTGTGTATAATTGTGATGTTCGTAATTTTCGAAGTATTGGGATTTTTTTTGTATTTTAAGGCTTCATTCATTTTTTTAAAATGTGGCAGTGTTATGGAGTATATTGCTGTTATTCCATCTGGGCTAGGTGATTTATTGTCTAGTTTCTTTATTGTTTTTTGTATATTTTGTTCTGATATCTCTTTATTAAGTATTTCTCTTTATTGATCTGAGATTCTTATTAAATTTTGTTTCCCTAAATATTGCAATATGTCCTCTTTCTTTGCTTGGTCTCTTGAATACAGTTTTTTACAACAACAACAACAACAGCAGCAGCAGCATATTAAATTTATTGAATTGAATTACTATATCTTGATCACTGGTATATGTTGTTTCACCCAACACAATGGTAATATGTTGTGATTGTCTTTTCTTTCTTATTTGTCTTGCAAACCATTTTCCTGGTTTATTAGCTTTCAGGAGATGATGTTTTCCCCAAATTTTAGTTCCTTAGATAGTTGCTCTGCTTCTAAATCATTTCTTTGTTTTCCTGGGACTTCCAATTCATATTTACATTTTGGGCATGTTGGGTCCTTTTTCAAGTTTTTGTCTATCTCTGCTATTTCTTGCTCTATTCTTGTTAGATTTTTGTTTTGTTTTCTTCTTATTGCATTTTGTTGTATTAGATGCCCCCTGGTGACTGCTTTACTTGCATCCCATACTGTCAGAATGCACATTTCTGGGACTGTGCTAATTTCAGTGGTCTGAGTTTGCAAGTTTGCACATTCATTTATAATATTTTCACAATCAACACAACTTTCCACCATTCTATTGATATTGCATTATAGATACATATATTGTGAATATATATGTAGTATATTTACACATATATTGTATATGAAGTGTGCCTATATATACATAGAGAGAGAGAGAGAGAGAGAGTGTGTGTGTATTATACACACACCCATATATATGTATATATTTTGCATTATGTATATATGTATGTGTATACGTATTCTGTTATATAGTGTTGTATATACATCTACATATACATTTATATATTGTGCATCACAAAAATCAATGCTTGGGAATGATGGGAATCAGAATCGAAAAACCCAACGCTGAATTAATTGTTTCCAATTAAAGAGTACTTTTTGTTTTGTACTACAATTCCCATCATCACAAAAACCAATGCCTGGGAAAGATGGGAATCAGAGTGCGAAAAATCACATCTCCAGCTTGATTAATTCCATTTCCTCCAATTAAACTCTACGTTTGGTTTCAGACTACAACTCCCATCATCACAAAAATCAATGCATGGGAACGACGGGAGTCAAAGTCTGGAAAAAAACAGCTCTGAATTAATTCCAGTTAAAGAGTTCTTTTGGTTTCAGATTACAACTCTCATCAGAAAAATTAATTATGGGAGATAGTGGGAGTTGGAGATTATGGCAGCCAGAGTATGAAAAAACTCCAAATTAATTCAATTTGCTATGCTTAAACTGTGCCTTTGGTTTGGAGTATAACTCCCAAAATTCAAAACTGAATGCCTGGGGATGATGGGATATGGAGACAAAAACCCCTGAATTAATTCTTGCTGTCATTAAATAGTACATTTTGTGTTGGACTGCAACTCAAAACATTTTGTATTCAAAACTAAATGCTTGGGGATGATGGGAGTCTGAGTCTGAAAAAACAGAACCATGAATTAATTGAATTTACTCTGGTTAAAACACTAATGTTGGTTTTGGACTACAACTGCCAGCATCACCAAACTCAATGCTTGGGGATGATGAGAGTTGGAGTCCAAACCCCAACCTTGAATTAATTCCATTTGCTCTGCTTATAACAGTGGTTTTGGTTTTGGACATCAGTTCCCATCATTAGAAAAAAATATTGGTTGGGGATGATGGGAGTAGGAGTCTGAAAAAATCCAACCCTTAATTAATTAATTCCATCTGTGGTTATTAAAGAGTACTTTTTGTTTTGGACTACAAATCCCTTTATTAAAACTCATAGTTTGGGGATGATGGGAGTCAGAGTCCAAAAGCCCAACCCTGAATTAATTAACTCCAATTAAAGAGTACTTTTGGTTTTGGACTACAACTCCTTTTATTGAAAACTCAATGCTTGAGGATGATGGGAGTCAGAAGCTCAAAAACCCAACCCTGAATTAATTAATTCCATTTACTCTGATTAAGTTAAACTCTACATTAATTAATTTAATTTCCTCCAATTACTCTTGGTTTTGGACTACAACTCACATAATTCAAAACTCAATGCTTGAGGTTCATGGGAGCCTAAATCTGAAATTAATTCAATTGGATTTGGACTATAACTCCCATCATCACAAAAAAAAACCAGTGCTTGGAGATGATGGCAGTATGAGTCCAGGTTAACATAAGATAGAAAAAAAAGATGGACACAGAAATCTCAGCGGGCAATTCTTTTATTGAGAGTGTTAATAGGTTGATTATTACTACTAATAGTTATTCCTTATTATGTATACACAGGTGACAAAAGGAAAAGCACCACCCTTCCGATCGAAAGCAGGCAGATAGTTGTCTTCCTTTTTGGATATGATGATAATGATAATGATTGATATAATATTTCTTGGACTTCAGTGGTGTGGGTTTCCTAGCTCTCCTCGAAACAGCCGCGCTTGTGCCACTGCTTGTCTCGCACACGGCGCATGGACTGCATCAAGGGCTGGCTGGCATCCCACTCATTCCAATGGCGGTACTCGCCCTTCTCAAAGACGTACTGCCGCCCACGGTAGCCAGGGAACTCATAGCCTACCCAGCTGCCCAATGGGGAAAGAAAATGAGATATTAATGAGATACACATACAAGATAGAAGAAACAAGATACAAAATGAGAGAAGAATGAGATAAAAATGAGAGATAAACAAGATAAGAACAAAAGGAAAACGAGAAAGAAAACAGAATAAAAAATGAGATATAAGAAAAAATACGAGAAGAACAAAAGCAAAACAAGAAAAGAACAAGATGAAAATGAAATGAAAACAAGATAAAGAAATTGCGAGATATAAGAAAAAATATGAGAGAAAAACGAGAGAAAGATAAGAATGAGAAGAAAGCGAGAGAAGAACAGGATAAAATGAGATAAAAAGCTATGAGATGGAAGAAAAATAAAAGACAAAAACAGGAGATAAACAAAAGGAAAACAGGATAAAACATGAGATAAAAATGCAGGATATAAGAAAAATAGAGAAGAGAAGAATGAGAGGAAAATAAAAGAAAAAGAATGAGATAAGAATATGAGATATAAGAAAAATACGAGATGAAAATGAAAGAAAGATGAGGTAAGAAAGAGTGGAAAAGAAGAGAATAAAAATGAGATATAAATGCGAGATATAAGAAAAAATACGAGACAAAACAAGAGGAAAATGAGAAGGTAGTCGGAATATTTGTAGCCCACCCAGCTGTCCAATGGAAAAAAAATGAGAGGAAAAAGAATGAGATAAACATACAAGATATAAGAAAAAATACAAGACAAAATGAGAAAAGAACAAGAGGAAAACAAGAGGAAAATGGGACAAAACAAGATAGAAAACAAACAAAACAAGAAAACGAGACAAAGAAAAGATGGAAAATGAGTTGGACAAACAGGAAATTCAGACAAAAAATGAGGTAGCCAGGGTATTTGTAGAAAACAGGATGATAAGAATGAGATTAAATACGAGATAAGAAAAAATACGAGATGTAAACAAAAACAGGATAAAAAACAAGAGCAAAAGACTGACATATACACGAGATTTAAAAAATGAGAGATGAAAACAAGATCAAAACCAATTTTTAAAAAGAGAAATACGAAAAATGCTAGACAAAAATAAGAAAATGAGAGGAAGATGAGAGGAAGACGAGATAAGAATAAAAGGAAAATGAGGCAAAAACTAGAGAGAAATAAGATGAAAAGAGTGATATATAATACTAGATATAAGAAAAAATGAGATGAAAACAAGAGAAGAATGAGATCAAAACCAAGAGAAAACAAGATAAGAATGAGATAAGAACAAGATTAAAACCAATAGGAAATAAGAGAAAATGGGAGAAAAACTAGATAGAAAACGAGATTTGAGAATGAGATAAAAACATGAGATAAAAATGGGACAAAAACAAAAGATGAATGAGAGAAAAACAAGATCAAAACCATGACAAAACAACAGGAAAATGAGATGACAACAAGCAAAAAACAGGATCAAAAATATAAACAAGAGGAAAACAAGCGAAGAATGAGGAAAACAAGCAAAAAATGAGGAAAACAAAATAGAAAATGAGATAAAAGAATGATAAAAACAAGAGATACGAAGAAATACGAGAAGTAAACAAGACAAAAACAGAAGCAAATGAGAAAACAGAAATCAAAATCAAGACAAAGTGAGAGGAAAATAAAAACAAAATAGAAAACAAGATTAAAAGAATGAGATAAAATATGATATAAGAAAAAAATACAACACAAAACAAAAGAAGTAGAAGAGGAAAATGAGAGGAAAATGAGACAAAAAGAATGGGATAAAAATATGAGATATAAAAATAGAGAAGAGAACGAGAGAATAACGAGATGAAAGCAAGATCAAACCAAGACAAAAATGAGATTAAATCTTTTCATGTTCCATATACTTCATTACTAAATTCCAATCTGCCATTGAATTCTTTTGTCTATGTTTGAGTTGATGGGATATGGAAATATTAATATAAACATTCACAGGAGAAAGGTGGACAGCCCCTAAACAGAAGATGGGAAGCCAACCAACCCCTTAAACTTCCCTCCCTTTTCTAACCCTATCCCTCCCTTCCCCTTCGATTTTAACCCATAAGCATCACTCAGATCCTTACATTACCCTCCCCACCCTTTCCTCATCTCTACCTTCCCAAGATCCCCTCTCCTCTTTCCCTCTTACTATTTTATGCTACTATGAAAAACTTTTCAATAAAGATATATTTTAAAAAAACAAAAAAAATGAGATTATATCAAGACAGAAAAAAAGAGAAAAAGAATGAGATAAAAATATGCGATATAAGTAAAAATACAAGATAAAATAAGGGAAGATCGAGAGAAAAAACAAAATCAAAACAAAGGCAAATTGGGAGGAAACGAAATAAAAACAAGAGATGAATGAGAGAAAAATGAAAGGAAAACGAGAGAAAAACGAGACAAAAAGAATGAGACAAAACAAGAGAACAAGATGAAAACAAGAAAAAACAAGATGCAAACAAAATAGAAATGAGAGAAAATATGATATATATATGAAATAATATGAGACAAAAACAAGAAAAGATCAAAACAAAAGATGATATATTAAAAGTCGATATCAGAAATGTGATACATATGAGAAAAGACAATGAAATAAAAGAAAAAGGTAAACATGAGATGAACAATGAGGAGTAAATGGGATGAACGACAAATTGAAGACAATATATTAAAAAAATATACTAAAAGGTGATATACTAAAAGATGATACGCTAAAAGGCGATATGCTTAAATATAATATGCTAAAAGGCAATATGCTAAAAGAGGATATGCTAAATGACGATTTATTAAAATACAATAAACTAAAAGGCTATATACTAAAAGACAATGTATTAAAAGACGATATATCAAAAGACGATCTACTAAAGGGCAATATACTAAAAGGTGATATATTAAAAGATGATCTGCTAAAAGGCAATATGCTAAAAGATAATATATTAAAAGACGATATATTAAAAGATGTTATACTAAAAGGCAATATTCTAAAAGAGGATACGGTAAAAGAGGATCTATTAAAAGACAATATACAAAAAAATGATATAGTAAAAGACAATAAAAGACAGTATATTAAAGAACGGTTTACTAAAAAATGATATACAAAAGGCAATATATTAAAAGGCGATATACTAAAAGGCGACATACGAAAAGGTGATATAGTAAAAGACGATATATCAAAATATGGCATATTAAAAGACAATATACTAAAAGACGATATACGAAAAGACGATAGACAATAGACAATGTACTAAAAGATGATATATTAAAAACAATATATTAACAGACAATATATGAAAAGATATTAATAATAATAAATATAATAAATATTAATATTAATAAATATAAATATAATAATGATGGTAGTGGTGCTAATAATATTATATAATATTCTAATAAATATAATAATGATGTAATTAAATTAAAAATATATATAATAGTAATAACAATAGTAAGAGTAATAGTAATAATGTGGGTATATTATAAAATAACAATAACGAATAATGTAATAATAATAATAAATACAATCAATATAATAACGGTGGTGGTGGTGATAATATATAGTGTATTAATAAATATACTAATATAATTAAATATAATAATAGTAGTAGTAATAATAATAAATAAAGATGATGATAATATTATAAAGTAATAATTTAGTAAAATATAATAATATAATTAATACAATAGTGATGGTGGTGGTGGTGATAATAATAATAATAATAATAATAATAATAATAATAATAATAATAGGTAAAGGTAAAGATTTTCCCGACATTAAGTCTAGTCGTGTCTGAATCTGGGTGGTGGTGCTCATCTCCATTTCTAAACTGAAGAGCCAGCATTGTTGGTAGACACCTCCAAGGTCATGTGGCCAGCATGACTGCATGGAACGCCGTTACCTTCCCACTAGAGCGGTACCTATTGATCTATTCACATTTGCATGTTTTCGAACTGCTAGGTTGGCAGAAGCTGGGGCTAACAGCAGTAGCTCACACCGCTCCCCGGATTCAAACCTGTGACCTTTCGGTAGGCAAGTTCAGCAACTCAGTGTTTTAACGCACTGTGCCACCAGGGGCTCCTAATAATAATAATAATAATAATAATAATAATAATAATAATAATAATAATAATAATGGTGGTGATAATATAAATATAATAATAATAAATCATAGAATAATTATATAATATAATAAATATAGTATTATTATAGTACCTTATAATCAATATAATAGTAATAATATAAAATATAATAAGGATGATAATATAATGATGGTGGTGGTGATAATAATATAATAAATATAATAATAATATAAATATAAAATATAACATATATAATTATAATGATAATAAATGCAATAATAAATATAATACAAATGATTATGATGATAATGATGTTATGATGGTGGTGATAATATAATAAATAGTATAATAATAACAACAACAACAACAACAACCCTTTGGTGCTTACATGCCATGTAGGGCCTTGACGCTGGCAACGCGGTCATGGAATCCATGTGCCCAGAGGCTGGGAACGTCGTCCTCCACAATCTCCATCTTCCGCCCGCCGTACCCCGCCCCCTCAAACAGGTGGATCTTGTGGTCTGCCCCATCCTGGAAGAAAGGTGTATATATAATATGGATGGTGAGAATAATAATAATAATGAAAAAAATAAAGAACGGTTTACTAAAAAATGATATACAAAAGGCGATATATTAAAAGGCGATATGAAAAAAATAATATAATTAAATATAATAAATATAATATTGATAACAGTAATATACAATCTATCTATCTATCTATTATCATAAAATATAATAGTATACAAAATTGTCATAAAATATACAATAATTATATATATAAATGGCAGTGGTGGCGAGATTATAATATCATATATATATATATATATATATATATATATATAATTCTTATTATATAATAATATATTATAACAATTTATAAATAATAATAATAATAATAATAATAATAATAATAGTGGTGATAAAAATTATAATATATTATAATAATAGTAATAATAATCCTGTGTGACTCACAATGAGGAGCGGTCGGATGGAGAGGAGTGTGCCTCCTCCGGCGTGTCCATTGGACCAGGAGTCCCAGCGTGGGAACGCCCCCACCTCCAGCACAAACTGCGCTCCCCCAAACGCCTGGCGCTCAAATCCCACCCACCTGCCAAGACAAGCACACATTATTCGTATTATATATAATAATAATAATAATAATAATAATAATAATAATAATAATAATAATAATAATAATAATAATAATAATGGACTGCCGGTAAAAGCTCCAGGAACCTTCCAGGAACAAGGTAAAGATTCAAGAGATGATTATACAGTAGTAGTATGATATTATTATTATTTTACTGACACAATTATTATCATTACTATTATTAAAAAGGACTCAAAGCCCACTGACCTGCCAGTACAAGAAATCATAATGAGTATTAGTATTATTATGTTATATTATATATTATTATAATATTATATATTATTATAATAATAAAGAACTGCCGCTCAAGACCGGGACAAGTTATCATCAGTATTAGGATTATATATATGTATTAGATATAAATATTATTGGGGGGGCAGTGGTGCAGTGGGTTAAACCGCTGAGCTGCTGAACTTGCTGACTGACAGGTCCAGAGTGCCCTTTTCCAAAAACTGTTGCTATTGAGTGACTAAAAAGCAGCAAACCAGGTTTCGGAGCATGTCCAGAGTGCCCTTTTCCAAAGGCTTTTGCTATTTAGTGACCTAAAATCAGCAAAGCAGGCTTCTGAGCATGTCCAGAGTGTCCTTTTCTGATGCTATTTAGTGGCCTAAAAGCAGCAAACCTGGCTTCTGAGCATGTTCAAAGTGTTCTTTCCCAACCATTATACTTATTTAGTGGCCTAAAAGCAGCAAACCAGGCTTCTGAGCATGCCCAGAGTGCCCTTTTCCAAAGACTGTTGCAATTTAGTGACCTAAAAGCAACAAACCAGGCTTCTGAGCATGCCCAGAGTGCCCTTTTCCCAAAGACTGTTGCTATTTAGTGACCTAAAAGCAACAAACCAGGCTTCTGAGCACGCCCAGAGTGTCCTTTTCCAAAGACTTTTGCTATTTAGTGACCTAGAATCAGCAAAGCAGGCTTCTGGGGAACGGTATGAGCTCCCACTGTTAGCCTCAGCTTCTCGAAAACATGCAAATGTGAGTAGATCAATAGGTCTCGCTTCTGCAGGAAGGTAACGGTGCTCCATGAAGTCATGCCGGCCATGTGACCTTGGACGATGCTCTTCGGTTTAGAAATGGAGATGAGCACCAGAGACCCAGAGTCGGACACAACTGGACTTCCTATTATTATTATTGTTATTGTTGTTGTTATTATTTTACTATTTTATATTGCTATTACTGTATTATATTACTATATATATATCATATTACATTAACTGTTATTATATTAGTATTATATTATAACTACTATATTATTATATTACTATTATATTATTACTATTATATTATATTGCTATTATATATTACTATATCATATTATTATATTAACTACTAGCCGTCCCCTGCCACGCGTTGCTGTGGCCCACATGGGGGTTCTTTGTGGGAGGTTTGGCCCAATTCTATCGTTGGTGGGGTTCAGAATGCTCTTTGACTGTAGGTGAACTATAAATCTCAGCAACTACAACTCCCAAATGTCAAAATTCTATTTTCCCCAAACTCCACCAGTGTTCACATTTGGGCATCTTGAGTATTCTTGTAGAGTTTGGTCCAGATCCATCATTGTTTGAGTCCACAGTGCTCTCTGGATGTAGGTGAACTACAACTCCCAAACTCAAGGTCAATGCCCACCAAATCCTTCCAGTATTTTCTGTTGGTCATGGGAGTTCTGTGTGCCAAGTTTGGTTCAATTCCATCATTGGTGGAGTTCAGAATGCTCTTTGATTATAGGTGAACTATAAATCCCAGCAACTACAACTCCCAAATTACAAAATCATAATTTTTTGATTGATGGTCACTCCTTGTGTTGTGAGACGTTTTGTTGCCAAATTTGATGTGATTTCGTTCATTGCTTCTTTTGTTTTTAAGGTACTCATTATGCACTGAGCATTTTATATAGATAGATCGTATTATTATTATATTACTATTATATATTACTATTATATTATTGTATTACTAGCATATAATATTACAATATAATATTTATTATTATTATTATTATTATTATTATTATTATTATTCTTATTCTTATTATTATTATTATTATTCCCAGCATGGGGATATTACTATAGCATATTATTATATTAACTATTTTATTATTATTATATTACTATTATATATTAATATTGTATTATTATATTACTATTATATTATATTACAATATTATTATTATTATTATTATTATTATTATTATTATTATTATTCCCAGTATGCCCTCACTTCCAGCACAAACTGCACTCCCCCAAAAAGTTAGGAAGTTATTATAAGTATTATGTATTATATATTATTATTACAATCATAGATTCATCACAGAGTTGGAAGAGACCTTATCATCATCATATTTAACTACTTATTAATCGCCCTCCATCCGAGAATGCTCTAGGCGATTTACAGCTAAATTGTAAAAGATAAAATACATATATACAAAAATTAAAAATTAACAGAGATCGAATGCTCTAGTAAAAAGCCTTATGGGCCATCCAGTCCAACCCCCCATTATTATTAGTATTATTATTCCGTATGAGGGCATACTACTCACGGTCCAGCTTCGACATGGATGGAGCCCACTTTGTCGATCGCCTTCTCCGTTACGTTGGGACTCTCATCCGTCAGCTCCCATTTCCGGCCTTGGAAATTCTCCAGCTCATAAAGAGTCACCTGCAATATATAATAATAATAATAATAATAATAATAATAATAATAATAATAATAATAATAATATGAATTATATGAATTATATGAATTATATGAATTATATGAAAAAGAATAATGGAACTCCTAGAAAACATACTATGATATAGGTAAAGAGGCGATACAAGTAATACCTGGAGGAATATATAATAATAATAATAATAATAATAATAATAATAATAATAATAATATGAATTATATGAAAAAGAATAATGGAACTCCTAGAAAACATAGTACGATATAGGTAAAGAGGCAATACAAATAATACCTGGAGGAATATATAATAATAATAATAATAATAATAATAATAATAATAATAATATGAATTATATGAATTATATGAATTATATGAAAAAGAATAATGGAACTCCTAGAAAACATAGTATGATATAGGTAAAGAGGCGATACAAGTAATACCTGGAGGAATATATAATAATAATAATAATAATAATAATAATATGAATTATATGAAAAAGAATAATGGAACTCCTAGAAAACATAATACGATATAGGTAAAGAGGCAATACAAATAATACCTGGAGGAATATATAATAATAATAATAATAATAATAATAATAATAATAATAATAATATGAATTATATGAATTATATGAATTATATGAAAAAGAATAATGGAACTCCTAGAAAACATAGTATGATATAGGTAAAGAGGCGATACAAGTAATACCTGGAGGAATATATAATAATAATAATAATAATAATAATAATAATAATATGAATTATATGAAAAAGAATAATGGAACTCCTAGAAAACATAATACGATATAGGTAAAGAGGCAATACAAATAATACCTGGAGGAATATAATAATAATAATAATAATAATAATAATAATAATAATATGAATTATATGAATTATATGAATTATATGAATTATATGAAAAAGAATAATGGAACTCCTAGAAAACATAATACGATATAGGTAAAGAGGCAATACAAATAATACCTGGAGGAATATAATAATAATAATAATAATAATAATAATAATAATAATATGAATTATATGAATTATATGAATTATATGAATTATATGAAAAAGAATAATGGAACTCCTAGAAAACATAGTATGATATAGGTAAAGAGGCGATACAAGTACTACCTGGAGGAATATATAATAATAATAATAATAATAAGAAGAAGAAGAAGAAGAATTATATGAATTATATGAAAAAGAATAATGGAACTCCTAGAAAACATAGTATGATATAGGTAAAGAGGCGATACAAGTAATATCTGGAGGAATATATAATAATAATAATAATAATAATAATAATAATAATAATATGAATTATATGAAAAAGAATAATGGAACTCCTAGAAAACATAGTACGATATAGGTAAAGAGGCAATACAAATAATACCTGGAGGAATATAATAATAATAATAATAATAATAATAATAATAATAATAATATGAATTATATGAATTATATGAATTATATGAATTATATGAAAAAGAATAATGGAACTCCTAGAAAACATAGTATGATATAGGTAAAGAGGCGATACAAGTAATACCTGGAGGAATATATAATAATAATAATAATAATAATAATAATAATAATAATATGAATTATATGAAAAAGAATAATGGAACTCCTAGAAAACATAGTACGATATAGGTAAAGAGGCAATACAAATAATACCTGGAGGAATATATAATAATAATAATAATAATAATAATAATAATAATATGAATAATATGAATTATATGAATTATATGAATTATATGAAAAAGAATAATGGAACTCCTAGAAAACATAGTATGATATAGGTAAAGAGGCGATACAAGTAATACCTGGAGGAATAAATAATAATAATAATAATAATAATAATAATAATAATAATAATATGGATTATATGAAAAAGAATAATGGAACTCCTAGAAAACATAGTATGATATAGGTAAAGAGGCGATACAAGTAATACCTGGAGGAATATAATAATAATAATAATAATAATAATAATAATAATAATAATAATAATAATAATATGGATTATATGAAAAAGAATAGTGGAACACCTAGAAAACATAGTATGATATAGTTAAAGAGGCAATACAATATAAGAATAATAAGAATAATATATAATAACTAGCTTGGGTACTTGGCGGTACCTGAATTATTTGAAAAAGGCCTTGTTTGTTTTGGGGTGTTGGGGAATATCATTTAGTTAATTAGTAACACTATTTATTAGGAAATAGACCGTCTTTGATTTGGTTTTTTTTATGAATGCTCCCATTAGGAAATGCACAACAATGTGGGTGAACTACAATTCTGAGAATCATGGGTCAACCCTCCCCAAACCATCTAGCCTGCCGCAGGTGAAAGAAGGCGGTTCTGCTAAAGGCGTAGACCTGGGCCTCCATCGTCAGCAGAGGGTCCAAAAGGACTCCCAGACTCTTGACCAATGATGACGGGCGTAGCGCCTCGCCATCCACGGTAGGCAGTTGGATATCCCCACTGCCCAGTCGACCCAGCCATAAGACCTCCTTCTTTGCTGGTTTCACCCTCAACCTGCTGGCACGCAGCCATCCAGTAAGGGCCTCAAGGCACTGATGGAAACAATCGGGTACAGAGTCCGGTCGGCCTTCCATCTTCAGCACAAGCTGAGTGTCATCGGCGTACTGATAACACTCAAGCCCAAAACCTCGAACCAGCTGAGTAAGTGGTCGCATATAGATGTTAAACAACAGAGGGGAGAGAATGGCCGCCTGAGGAACCCCACAAGATAGAGGGGACCTCTCAGAGACCAGGCCTCCCCTCTCCACTCGCTGTCCACGGTTGTGAAGAAAGGAGGACAGCCAGTTTAAAGCTGCCCCCCTGACTCCAGCAACAGCAAGGCGGTGGGTCAAGAGATTGTGGTCGACTGTGTCAAATGCTGCTGTGAGATCCAATAACACAAGCAGCGCTGACCCGCCCTGGTCAAGCTGGCATCGAAGGTGATCCGTGATGGAGACCAGCCCAGTCTCTGTCCCATGCCCCGCACAGAAGCCGACTGGAAGGGATCTAGTCCGGCTGTGTCGTCTAGGAATTGCTGCAACTGCTCCGCTGCTGCCCTCTCAATCACCTTGCCCAGGAACGAGAGATTTGAAACTGGGCGGTAACTGGAGGGAACCGAGGGATCTAAGTCTGGTTTCTTCAGCAGGGGAGAGACCACCGCCTCTTTTAAACCCTCTGGAAAAACTCCTTGCTCAAGGGAGCTTTTTATGATCTTCAACAGAGGGTCACGTAATCCCTCCAAGCAGGATTTCACCAACCAAGAGGGACACGGATCGAGGGAGCAAGTGGTCGGTCTAGCTGCAGCTATGAGCCTATCGACAGCCTCTGCGTCCAGCGGGATGAACCGGTCGAGGATGGGCCCAGCAAGTGGCCACGGAGTCTCAAGTTGGGGGCTGCAGTGGTCTGTGGGAGCCAAAGCAATTGAAAGTACTGCAAATCCTATCATCCGTGGTAAGGGTGGTCCAGATCCATCGTTGCTTGGGTTCACAGTGCTGTCTAAATGTAGATGAACTACAACTCCTATAAATCAAGATCAATTCCCCCCAAAAGTCTGGTTCAGTTGCTGACCAATTCCTGTTTGCTGTGTGCCATAGGAAAGGGTTTAGGGAGAGGCAGTGGGTGGGATCATGCAAATTTGGAGAGAGAAAAGAACCCTGGAATGCCCATTCTGGAGGGAAAACAGAACATCTAGGATGAAATGGTCCCTGAATGAAAGCATTCCTTGGGTGGGGGGCAGGATGGTATTTGGGGAAGACATTGGCATGGGTTGGGAGGCATGTTCATGGCGCCCGCTGTAACCTGAAATGTCCTTGGAGGGAGTGCTTTTGGTGGTTTTTCAGCACTATAGGTTAAAGCTCTTTGTGGAGTCGGGAGGCTGTCTGTGCGTATAGAAAGATATATAGATATAGGTATATAATAATAATAATAATAATAATAATAATAATAATAATAACTACAATCATGAAACTTCTAGGATGAACATAATAATAATAATAATAATAATAATAATAATAATAATTACAATCATGAAACTTCTAGGATGAACATAATAATAATAATAATAATAATAATAATAATAATAATAACAATAATAACTACAATCATGAAACTTCTAGGATGAACATAATAATAATAATAATAATAATAATAATAATAATAATAATAATAATAACTACAATCATGAAACTTCTAGGATGAACATAATAATAATAATAATAATAATAATAATATAGCTGGTCAACATCTAGTGAATCATCTATATAAATAAAAATGTAATGTTAGTTTGTGCTACCATCAGAATTCCAAAACCGCTGGGGGAATTGACACCAAATTTGGACACAAGACACCTAACAGTCCAATTTATGTCCTCCACTCAAAAAAATTGATTTTGTTATTTGGGAATTGTCATTGCTGGGATTTGTAGTTTACCTACAATCAAAGAGCATTCTGAACTCCACCAATGATGGAATTGGGCCAAACTTAGCACACAGGGCTCCCATGACCAACAGAACACACTGGAAGGGTTTGGTGGACATTGACCTTGAGTTTGGGAATTGTAGTTCACCCACATCCAGAGAGCACTGTTGACTCAAACAATGATGGATCTGGACCAAACTTGGCACAAATATTCCATATGCCCAAATATGAACACAGATGGAGTTTAAGGGAAATAGACCTTGACATTTGGGAGTTGTAGTTGCTGGGATTTATAGTTCACCTACAATCAAAGAGCATTCTGAACCTCACCAACGATGGAATTGAACCAAACTTGGCACACAGAACTCCCATGACCAACAGAAAACTCTAGAAGGGTTTGGTGGGCATTGACCTTGACTTTGGGAATTATAGTTCACCCACATCCAGAAAGCACTGTGGACTCAAACAATGATGGATCTGGACCAAACTTGACACAAATATTCCATATGCCTAATTATGAACACAGATGGAGTCTGGAGGAAATAGACCTTGACATTTGGGATTTGTAGTTACTGGGATTTATAGTTCACTACAATTAAAGAGCATTCTGAAACCCACAAACGACAGAAATGGGGCAAACTTCCCACACAGAACCCCCATGACCAACAGAAAATACTTAAGGCCATCCAGTCCAACTCTCTTCACCAGGGCAAGAAAATGTAATCAGAGCCTTCCTGACAAAGAGCCATCCAGTCATAAATATAGATAGATATGATTCACACACACACAGATATAGTATCACAGATTTGAAAGGGACCCTTAAAGAAGGACTATGATATGTTGCATATTCCAGAGTAGGCAAACCAGACGCTCTCCAGATCAACACTGACAAAGAAACAGCAAGAAATACTGTTTACTCACAAGCATAAAGGAATTACATATATTAGAAACCAACACTTTCTCATTACTTTATTTTCCAGATCACCAGACTGGGCCACAGCAACGTGTGGAAGGGGACCGCTAGTTATCAATAAAAGTGCCAACGTTTTTTACAAATCCCAATGGCATCTAGGCACTTGATGATCCAACTGTGTGGGAGTGAGTCAAAGGCTTTTTTTTGTAGTCAATCCACGTCATGTGAAGATTTTTTTTTTGGCTTTTGCAGTTCTCCAGAATCATTTTGTCATTTTGTCTTTTGTGCCCCTGCTTTTCCATTTGTTGCCTTTCTGTTCATCTGGCAATATGTTCTTTTCTTCAAGATAATCTTGAATATTGTCAGTTATGATGCCGGTCAATAGTTTCAACATAGTGGGCAGACATGTTATCGGCCTGTAGTTTCCCGGTGCTGCTCCTTTTGCTGGATCCTTTCATAATTCACTACATAGAATCAAAGAATTGGAGGAGACCTCATGGGCCATCCAGTCCAACCCCCTGCCAAGAAGCAGGAATATTGCATTCAAATCACCCCCGACAGATGGCCATCCAGCCTCTGTTTAAAAGCCTCCAAAGAAGGAGCCTCCACCACACTCCGGGGCAGAGAGTTCCACTGCTGAACGGCTCTCACAGTCAGAAAGTTCTTCCTCATGTTCAGATGGAATCTCCTCTCTTGTAGTTTGAAGCCATTGTTCCGCGTCCTAGTCTCCAAGGAAGCAGAAAACAAGCTTGCTCTTCCTCCCTATGAGTTCCCCTCACATTTTGATACATCTCCTCTCAGCCTTCTCTTCTTCAGGCTAAACATGCCCAGCTCCTTAAGCCGCTCCTCATAGGGCTTGTTCTTCAGACCCTTGATCATTTTAGTCGCCCTCCTCTGGACACATTCCTGCTTGTCAATATCTCTCTTGAATTGTGGTGCCCAGAATTGGACACAATATTCCAGGTGTGGTCTAACCAAGGCAGAATAGAGGGGTAGCATTGCTTCCCTGGGCCTAGACACTATGCTCCTATTGATACAGGCCAAAATCCCATTGGCTTTTTTTGCTGCCACATCACATTGCTGGCTCATGTTTAACTTGTTGTCCACGAGGACTCCAAGATCTTTTTCACACGTACTGCTCTCAAGCCAGGCATTGTCCCCCATTTTTTTTCTTTGCATTTCCTTTATTCTGCCTAAGTGGAGTATCTTGCATTTGTCCCTGTTGAACTTCATTTTGTTAGTTTTGGCCAATCATCTCTCTAATCTGTCAAGATCGTTTTGAATTCTGCTCCTGTCCTCTGGAGTATTGGCTCTCCCTCCCAATTAGGTGTCGTCTGCAAACTTCCTTGCAGTGATGTTGACCGGCTCTATCTGCCTAGAACAGTGGTTCTCAACCTGTGGGTCCTCAATTGTTTTGGCCTACAACTCCCAGAAATCTCAGCCAGTGTAAGGGTTTCTGGGAGTTGAAGGTCAAAACATCTGGGGACTCACAGGTTGAGAACCATTGGACTAGAAGGTCTGGTGGCAGAGGACTTTTACAAGTAAAACAAGCAGTTGAAGGAGAAAAACACAGCCTGGCAGAATATGTCAAGGAAAGCCAAGAACCTGCTTTAATTGAAGTCAGTAATCAGAAACTTCTCAAAGCACAGCAGACAAAGAACCAGTACAAGAAAACTGCACTCCAAACCCGAGCTGATAACTGGCACCACAAAGCATTGCGTAGGCTGTTCCTTGACAAAATTGAAGGAAAAGTTGACAGGGAGAAGAACTGGTGATGGCTCACGAATGGAGAAGAAGGAGACAGAAGGCCTGATTCTTGCAGCCCAGGAGCAAGCCATCAGAACAAACGCCATTAAGGCCAGGATTGAAAAATCAGCAGATGACGCAAAATGCAAGGAAGCTGATGAAACCATAGACCATATCCTCAGCCGTTGCAAGAAAATCGCACAGACAGACTACAAACAGAGGCACAACTCTGTGGCCTAAAGGATTCATTGGAATTTATGTCACAAGTACCACCTGCCAGTAGGAAAGAACTGGTAAAGGGATCATAAACCTGCAAAGGTAGTGGAAAATGGACATGCAAAAATACTGTGGGACTTTCGAATCCAGATTGACAAAGCTTTGCAACACAATACACCGGACATCACAATTGTGGAAAAGAAAAAAGTCTGGATTATTGATGTCGCCATACCAGGTGACAGTCACATTGAGGAAAAACAACAGGAAAAACTCAGCCATTATCAGACCTCAAAATCGAACTGCTCTGGCATAAACCAGTACAGGTGGTCCCAGTGGTGATCGGCACACTGCGTGCCGTGCCAAAAGATCTCAGCCGGCATTTGGAAACAATAAACATCGACAAAATCATGATCTGTCAACTGCAAAAGGCCACCTGACTTGGATCTGGACGCATCATTCGAAAATACATCACACAGTCCTAGACGCTTGGGAAGTGTTCGACTTGTGATTTTGTGATACGAAATCCAGCATATAGATCTCGTTTGCTAAGACATACTGTGTTTTTGTGTCAGTAAAATAACAACAACAATAATAGTAATATAAAAATAATACTACAAATAAAATAATAAAATAATCACGATAAAAATAATAAACATATACAAATTATAATAACTGAAATAATAAATATAACATTAAAAATAATAAAATAATAATAATAATAAAATATATAAAGAATATAATAATATAATAAAACTCATAATGATAAAAATAAAAATATAATAATACTAAATATAAAATTTAAAATAATAAAATAATTATAGCAATAATAATGGTACAAATATAATAATAATAATAATAATAGTAATAATAATAATAACAACCTTAATCTAAAAATAATACTACAAATAAAATAATAAAATAATCACGATAAAAATAATAAACATATACAAATTATAACTGAAATAATAAATATAACATTAAAAATAATAACAATAACAATAATGATAAAAATAAAATATATAAAGAATATAATAATCAAAATAATAATATAATAAAACTCATAATGATAAAAATAATAATATAATAAAACTCATAATAATAAAATAATAATAATATAATAAAACTCATAATAATAATAAAAATAATATAATAAAACTCATAATAATAAAAATAATAATATAACAAAACTCATAATAATAAAAATAATAATTAACAAAACTCATAATAATAAAAATAATAATATAATAAAATTCATAATGATAAAAATAATAATATAATAATATTAAATATATAATTAAAAATAATAAAATAATCATAACAATAATAATGGTAAAAGGTAAAGGTAGTCCCCTGACATTAAGTCCAGTCATGTCTGACTCTGGGGTGTGGTGCTCATCTCCATTTCTAAGCCAAAGAGCCAGCATTGTCCGTAGACACCTCCAAGGTCATGACTGCATGGAGCGCCGTTACCTTCCCGCCGGAGCGGTACCTATTGATCTACTCACATTTGCATGTTTTCGAACTGCTAGGTTGGCAGAAGCTAGGGCTGACAGCGGAAGCTCACGCCGCTCTCCGGAATCGAACCTGCGACCTTTCGATCAACAAGCTCAGCAGCTCAGTGCTTTAACCCACTGCGCCACCGGGGGCTCCATAATAATGGTACAAATATAATAATAATAATAATAATAATAACAACAACAACAACCTTATAATTGGGCCCTGTCTCATCTGGACTCTCTGGAGTTGCCATTTCTTCTGGAGGGCTGTATTGCTCTGTCATTATTCCTGCAAATGGTGAATAAAAATAATTAAATATATTTATAAAAATATATATATATATATATATGATTTGAAAAATATATAATATCTATATCTTTAATATATGTATACATTTAATATTTATAAAAATAAAATTTAAAAATCTATGAATATTATATAAAAATAACAAATATATATATATATAATTTTTAAATATATAGATGAATATATTTATAAAATAACTTTAAAATTAGATGAATATTATAAAAGCCATATATATATATATATATATATTCATATATATAGATAGATAGATATTTGTTATTATATTGATAAAAATAACACATATATATATACTTTTAAAATATATAGATGAATATATTTATAAAATAACTTTAAAATTAGATGAATATTATATGTATAAAAGCCATATATACACATATATATATTCATATATATGTTCTGATATTTATAAAAATAATTTAAAATGTATAGATCAATTTGTAGAAACACTGCAAAGCGGTGATTCCATCATACCTGGTGTTGTTTTTCCTGGGCCGTGGGTGCTGGAGCGTTTGCAAGTGGTCAAGCGGTCCAGCGGCTGCCTGAGAGCTATTTATGCCCCTTTCGGGGGATTTGTGGATCTGCTGATCTGTGGCAATTCCATACAAAATGGGGAATAACGCCGTTGTTTCTGCTGAGTTTATTCTCCAAAGATTAGCAGCAACGTTTCTCCTTGCCAAGACCCTGCTTCAGCAGATTTTTGTTGTATTTTATTTTATTTTAGGGCCGAAAATTAGACTTTGGGAAAGGCGAGAAAACAGAACGTGCCTGGTCCCAATGGGCATATATATATATATATATATATATATATATATATATACACACATTATAACATTTTTATAGTAATATATTTAAAATAAAACAATATAAGAATATAATGTATAAAATGATAATATAATATACTAATATATTTATAATAAAATAAGAATTATATATAATACAATAAAATGATTACATGTTATATAATAATAATTTTATAATATATTTTATTTAAAGTAATATGAATATAATGTATATCATATAATAAAATAAAATGATAATATAATATACTAATATATTTATGATAAAATAATAATTATATATAATACAATAAAATGATAATATATATGTTATATAATAATAATTTAATAATATATTTTATTTAAAGTAATATGAATATAATGTATATTTCTGTTACTTTTTGTTACTTTTTCTTTATTTATTTCTTATATTTACTTTCAAAGTTTTTATAATAACATTATTTTTATATATTAATAATTTATAATTTAATTTTATATATTATTTTTATTATTATTTATAATTATATTTTATAAATATTTTATAAATATAATTATATTTTATTTAAATATTTATATTATTATTTATTTCATTTATATAATATATATAATAAACATATTATTATATATATATATTTATAATAATATAATATATATAATACAATAAAATAATATTATAATATTGTTATATAATATAAATATAATATATTTTATTTAAAGTAATATATAATAATGTATAAAATATAATAAATAATATAATATACTATATAATATTATAATATAAATAAATAATATAATAATAAATGTAATATTTATATATAATATTTTATAATATATTTAATAATGAATAATCTATAATATAATATAATAAAATGATAATATAATATAAAAAATATTTATAATAAAATAATAATGATATATAATACAATAAATATATAGTTATATAATAATAATTTATAATATATTTTATTTAAAGTAATATGAATATAATGTATAAAATTAATAAAATAAAATGATAATATAATATACTAATATATTTAATAAAATAATAATATATATAATACAATAAAATGATAATATATATGTTATATAATAATAATTTTATATATTTTATTTAAAGTAATATGAATATAATGTATAAAATAATAAAATAAAATGATATGTTATATAATAATAATTTTATAATATATTTTATTTAAAGTAATATGAATATAATGTATATCATATAATAAAATAAAATGATAATATAATATACTAATATATTTATGATAAAATAATAATTATATATAATACAATAAAATGATAATATATATGTTATATAATAATAATTTTATAATATATTTTATTTAAAGTAATATGAATATAATGTATATCATATAATAAAATAAAATGATAATATAATATACTAATATATTTATGATAAAATAATAATTATATATAATACAATAAAATGATAATATATATGTTATATAATAATAATTTAATAATATATTTTATTTAAAGTAATATGAATATAATGTATAAAATATAATAAAATAAAATGATAATATAACATACTAATATATTTATAATAAAATAATTATATTATGTATTGTGTTGTTGTATTGTTTTGTTGAGACCTTGATATATAATACAATAAAATGATAATATATATGTTATATAATATAATTTTATAATATATTTTATTTAAAGTAATATGAATATAATGTATAAAATATAATATAATAAAATGATAATATAATATACTAATATATTTATAATAAAATAATAATGATATATAATACAATAAAATGATATGTTATATAATAATAATTTTATAATATATTTTATTTAAAGTAATATGAATATAATGTATATCATATAATAAAATAAAATGATAATATAATATACTAATATATTTATGATAAAATAATAATTATATATAATACAATAAAATGATAATATATATGTTATATAATAATAATTTAATAATATATTTTATTTAAAGTAATATGAATATAATGTATAAAATATAATAAAATAAAATGATAATATAACATACTAATATATTTATAATAAAATAATTATATTATGTATTGTGTTGTTGTATTGTTTTGTTGAGACCTTGGCCTTTGTAAGCCGCATCAAGTCCTTCGGGAGATGCTAGCGGGGTACAAATAAAGTTATAATAATAATAATTATAATAATTATAATATATAATACAATAAAATATATATGTTATATAATAATAAAATATATTTTATAATATACTTTATTTAAAGTAATATGAAAATAATATAACATATATAATATAATAAAACGGTAAAATGGTAAAAATACAATACAGTAATATATAATAAAATAAAGTAATATGTATGCTGATAATATAATACATTTTATAATAATATAACAATAAAATAAAAAATTATAATATAAAATTATTTTATATATATTTAAAATAAAATAATAATATAATATGTAATATAATAATATACAATACAATAATTATATATTAATATAATATATTTTATCATAATGTTATCATAAAATATATATTTTATATACTGTGTATTATTATTTTTATTATTATTATAGTAATAGAATGTACATTTGTTGGTTTGTACCTGAAAAAATCCTATCAGGCTGAATGGATTTGAACCAAATTTGGTATATATTATCCGTTATCGTCCAATTCAAAATTATTGGGGTCTTTCAACAATAAAATCAACCTCATTTAGACTAAGGCCCCCCAAAATGAATAAATTAGAATGTACGTTTGTAGATTTGTAACTCAAAGGATGCTACATGGCTTAATGGATTAAGACCAAATTTGGTAGATATTATGCATTAAAAAATTATTGGGGTCTTTCAAGTATAAAATCCACCCCATTTGGGAATAGGACCCCTAAAACAAATAAATTTGAATGTGCATTTGTTGGTTTGTACCACAAAAACTCCTAGGTGGCTTAATGGATCTGGACCAAAATTGGTATATATTGCCCATTATAGTCCAACTTAAAATTATTGGCATCTTTCAAGCACACAATCAACCCCATTTGGAACTAGGACCCCAAAATTGAATAACTTTGAATATATGTTTTTGGTTTGTACCTCAAAAGATCGAACGAGGCTTAATGGATTTGGACCAAATTTGGTATATATTATCCATTATAGTCCTATTTAAAGTTATTTGGGTCTTTCAAGCATAAAATAGACTCCATTTCAGAGTAGGGTCATACTTTTAGTTTTTTGTTGTTCATTCGTTCAGTCGTCTCCGACTCTTCGTGACCTCATGGACCAGCCCACGCCAGAGCTCCCTGTCGGCCGTTACCACCCCCAGCTCCCTCAAGGTCAGTCCAGTCACTTCAAGGATGCCATCCATCCATCTTGCCCTTGGTCGGCCCCTCTTCCCTTTTGCCTTCCACTTTCCCCAGCATAATTGTCTTCTCTAGGCTTTCCTGTCTCCTCATGATGTGGCCAAAGTACTTCAACTTTGTCTCTAGTATCTTTCCCTCCAGTGAGCAGTCGGGCTTTATTTCCTGGAGGATGGACTGGTTGGATCTTCTCGCAGTCCAAGGCACTCTCAGCACTTTCCTCCAACACCACAGCTCAAAAGCATCGATCTTCCTTCGCTCAGCCTTCCCTAAGGTCCAGCTCTCACATCCGTAGGTGACTACAGGGAATACCATGGCTTTGACTAGGCGGATCTTTGTTGCCAGTCTGATATCTCTACTCTTTACTATTTTATCGAGACTGGACATTGCTCTCCTCCCAAGAAGTAAGCGTCTTCTGATTTCCTGGCCACAGTCTGCATCTGCAGTAATCTTTGCACCTAGAAATACAAAGTCTGTCACGGCCTCCACAGTTTCTCCCTCTATTTTCCAGTTGTCAATCATTCTTGTTGCCATAATCTTGGTTTTTTTGACTTTTAGTTTTTAGTAAATAATAAATGACGACAAACAATTATATATCAATTATATATCACAGAATCATATGAATTAAAACTCATAGACTTTTATTACATTATCAAACTTTCATCATCATAAATCAATCAAGACACAAAATCTTTATTTTTTGATCCTAAAAAAGAATATTTTTTTAATTCTAAAAAAATTCATAATAATAAAGAAAACATTGGTAACAACAAGAAAAACAACAAAAATAATCCTATTTCTTCTTCTGGCCCTGAAAACATTTCCGGGGGGAAAAAATATCCTATTAAAAATATAATTGTCATTATTTCCTTCTCACTATGGCAGAAAATGTAATTCACATTCTTTATTTTTAAAAAAACTATTAATTTGTTCATATTTTCGTTCCTTTTTTGCATTTATCCATCTTTTCCTTTTTTTTTCAAAATTCAGTTTTATTTTATTTCTTTTCTTTTATTTATCCATTTTTCCCATTTTTTTCTCTCTTTTTTTTGGAAAAAAAATCAATTTGATTCCATTTTATGGTCTATATTTTTCAAATATTTATTCAATAAACTTATTTTTATTTATATATGTATTATATTTATTTTTCCTCAATTTAAAAAATCTATTTTTCAAACTCTCCATTTTTTTTAAAAAAAGATTTTTATATATTTTTTCTAACTTGCTAATATTCTTCATTTGAAATTATTAAATTTTTCATCATTTCCTCATTTTCAATTTTTTAAAAAGTTTTTCGTCAGTTTTCTGCATATTTTCTTCATTTTACAAATGCATTTTATTTTTCACATTTTCTTCATTTTTACATTTTTAATTTTGTTTGTCCATATTTTCTTCATTTATAATAACCCACGTCTTTTATTCATTTTTTTCTTAACTTGGCAAAAATAAATTTTGAAAAATTTTCAACAATTTGTAATTTTCTCTAAAATTTGCAGGAATTCAATGTTCTTCTAAAACTTGCAGGAATTTGGGTTTTTTCTAAATTTTTTGAGGAATTTGGAATTTTTTAAATAAAATTGGCAGGAATTTGGAATTTTTATTCCTTTTTTTAAATTTGTAAAATTGTTGAATTTCTTTGCTTATATTTTTATTATTTAAAAATAAAGGGTCTTTTGTGCAATTTGCAAAATTCAGTTCATCCATATCATCCTCATTATTTTATTTTATTTTTTCCTCATTTTAAAATAATTATTATTTTCACATTTTTTCATTTGAAAAACTGTTTTTGTCATTTATTTTATTTTTTCCTCAATTTTAAATAATTATTATTTTCACGTTTTTTCATTTGAAAAACTGTTTTTTGTCATTTATTTTATTTTTTCCTCAATTTTAAATACTAATTGTTTTCATTTTTCAGCATTTTTTCTAATCGTAGAATCATAGAGTTGGAAGAGACCTCATGGACCATCCAGTACAACCACCTAATTGTCCTTTTTATACTAATTTTCTAATAATTTTTGAATATTAAAAAAAAACTTTATTGTTTTCTTTCATTCATCTTTTCCTCCTTTACAAAATTATTTTATTTTTCCTCATTTTTAATCATCATTATTCTATTTTTCCTCCATGTCATATATTTTATATTATTTTATCCTATTTTTAATAATATTTTCTTTAAAAAAAATTAAAATATATTTCCTCTATTTCCAATTTTTCTTCGTTCTTTTTTCCTTTATTCGGCTTTTCCTTCTTTATAAAAAATAAAAATTTAATAGAAATTCCAGGTTGCCATGACTCCGTTGTCCTCTAGGGGGCCAGCACCAGAATCACTTCCTGTCTCAACAGGAAGTCTAGGTTTTTCCCCATTTCCTCTTCCTCCTCCAGCTTGAAAAGGCACACAATGGGAAGAGGGAAAATTAAGGCTTCTTCTTCCATTGAAACAAATAGGAAATGTTTCCTTTTTCCGCTTCCTTTAGACTTGGTTTTCCCATTGGCTCGGCCGACGTTTTGACATGAGCTCCTTCAGCCATTGAGGAGGGACTTCTTCTGACCTGGAATTAAATATTATATTATTATTATTATTATTATTATTATTATTATTATTATTATTATTAATTATTATTATTACAAATCTTATTTAATTATAACAGGGTTAAATATAATAAATACAAAATATATAACAATAATCTATATAAATAAAAATGTAATGTTAGTTTGTGGGATTAACAGAACTCAAAAACCACTGGACGAATTGACACCAAATTTGGACACAAGACACCTAACAACCCAATGCATGTCCTTCACTCAAAAAAATTGATTTTGTCATTTGGGAGTTGTAGTTGCTAGGATTTATAGTTCAGCTACAATCAAATAGCATGCTGAACTCCACCAATGATGGATCTGGACCAAACTTGGCACGAATATTCCATATGCCCAAATATGAACACAGATGGAGTTTAAAGGAAATAGACCTTGACATTTGGGAGTTGTAGTTGCTGGGATTTATAGTTCACCTACAATCAAAGAGCATGCTGAACTCAACCAATGATGGAATTGAATCAAACTTGGCACACAGGACTCCCATGACCAACAGAAAACACTAGAAGGGTTTGGTGGGCATTGACCTTGAGTTTGGGAGTTGTAGTTCACCTACATCCAGAGAGCACTGTGGACTCAAACAATGATGGATCTGGACCAAACTTGGCATGAATATTCCATATGCCTAACTATGAACACAGATGGAGTTTATAGACCTTGACATTTGGGATTTGTAGTTACTGAGATTTATAGTCTACCTACAATCAAAGAGCATTCTGAACTCCACTAATGATGGAATTGAACCAAACATGGCATACAGGACTTCCATGACCAACAGAACACACTGGAAGGGTTTGGTGGGCATTGACCTTGAGTTTGGGAGTTGTAGTTCAGCTACATCCAGAGAGCACTGTGGACTCAAACAATGATGGATCTGGACCAAACTTGGCACAAATATTCCATATGCCCAAATATGAACACAGATGGAGTTTGGAGGAAATAGACCTTGACATTTGGGATTTGTAGTTACTGAGATTTATAGTCTACCTACAATCAAAGAGCATTCTGAACCCCACGAACGACAGAAATGGGGCAAACTTCTCACACAGAACCCCCATGACCAACAGAAAATACTGAAGGCCATCCAGTCCAACTCTCTTCACCAGAGCAAGAAAATGTAATCAGAGCCCTCCTGACAAAGAGCCATCCAGTCATAAATATAGATAGACAGATGTGATTCTCGCTCACACACAGAGATATAGTATCACAGATTTGAAAGAGACCCTTAAAGAAGGACTATGATATGTTGCATATTCCAGAGTAGGCAAACCAGACACTCTCCACATCAACACTGACAAAGAAACAACAAGAAATACTGTTTACTCACAAGCATAAAGGAATTACATATATTACAACACTTTCTCGTTACTTTATTTTCCAGATC